TGATGCTCATGGCCTTAGAGGAGATGCCGGTATCTGGGTGGACCTGCCAGAGGGAAATCAACCACAGTCTTCACACACCCATCGCTCTGGAGGGAGCCAGGGCCCCAGTGCCCCAACAAAAGCGCCCCCCCCCCCCAACAGGGCACCCTAACCCCAAAGACACCCACAGTTGCTGCCCTGAGCATCTCAAGTTGTGTGCCACTCGCATTGGACTGAAGACAGGCTCCCATGGGAGCAGGTGGCTTTGGGATTGCACTGGCAGGAACCTCTGCACAATCCCCTGTGGAAAACAAACCTGTAAGGGGTGGAAATGCCAACATACTCCAAGTCCTGCCTACAGGCTCATGCAGATGCCTGAGGCCTGGACAACTCATGGCCACCTCTCAGAATTCTTTTCCTCACCTACCCAACAGAAATTATCAGGGAGGTTTTAACGCTTGCTCACAGGGCCAACAGCAACCATTCTGGCCCTGTTGAATTCTGCTCAATTATTTCTTTAGGCAGAGCCACAGACTGGACCTTACTCTCTCCAGGAAACGCTTTCTGATCTCAATCAGTCTCCTGCCTCCTACTCAAGAATCCACACACACATTTCTGAGACACAGCCAGGACTCTCCTATACCCACACACTCTTCTCATCTCACCAGAGCACAGATTTTCCTTCCTTACTTCCTCTTGGTAAGGTTAACACAGAACAGGCAAAAGTAACTTCAAGTACAAAGCCATTTCTAACAAAAAAAGAAACATTTACTCACTTGCTTCAGCACTTTGTAGATATAGACTGAATAGGTTTCCTTTCTTTTAGGCTTCCTTTTAGACTTCTTGTCCCCAGAGGTAGGAGCATGACCACGCTTCTTCCCAGCTTCTGCACTCATCTTGGCCTCCATCAGAGCAAGCTCCAACAGGACAACTAGCAGGTGCCATGGTGCTGGTTATATAGCAAAGGCAGCAGAACCTCGCCTCCCCCAGGTGCAGCCCCCAAGGAGCAGGGGGAATACACATCTGCGACTGATCATTCCACTTCGCGCTGCGTGAAGGGCAGCTGGCCTGAGATGACCTTTGAAGCAACAGATTAGATTGAACTGAGACCTGAGAAACATGGTGAAGGTAACATGGGCAGAGAGGTGGACAAGAGCAGCAGTGTCTCGTTCACACAGGCAGGAGTTCCAGAGAAGAGCTACTCCTAAGTCCATCCAGGGTTTTGGTGAAAGGAGGGTTCCTGCTTTTGTAGAAGGGTGTAAATCAGAGTGCTCAGGGTATTGCTTCCAGAAGCAAAGGGGTGGAACCACTTCTGTCCTGTAGAGCAGACAATGCAGCCAGTGGAGACCCAGTAACTGGAGGGAACGTTGGTCTAGTGACTGAGCAATGGCACTATGAACGTCCCGACAGCCAGTTTTCCTCCTCCCGTCTCAGCCAGCCTGCTCTTGGGCATCCTGCCTGCCACACACAACAGGGCCTCAAAGGATAGGAGGGAGGCAGCAGGGGGTGCAGGCTAATACCCTGAGTAACATCTGAGTATGTATTCGGTCTGTCCTGGAAACCGATCACACTAGTGGTGATAATTACGGTGCAGGAATTAAGCTAAGCCAGGAAAAAAAAAGTGCAGCAACACAGTAAACAAAACAGAGACCGTTTTCTGTCCTTAAAGCAGAACAGGAAGGCCTTCTCTCAGCAAGCATTTCATAAAGGGTAATACCAGCATGTGCCTTTGGGGAAGGGGACGCTGGGGTCCGTGTCTGCCATGCGCACTGCCCCAGCTCAGAGGCACACCTTATCCTGGCATACGCTTGGCAGATCACATCCGCCAAGGACAGAGTTTGGGAGACCTGCTCATTAGTCGCTCTGCCGGTGCTTGCACAGCCTATAGCTTTTCACTGGATTCAGTTTTAGTCTAGGCCTGTCCTCATGGGGAGGCACCTGATCACCCACCCCCAGAGCAAATAAACATCACAGCGACAAATGGGGTCTAAGCGTCACAGAAGGGCTTCTCGCACCCAAGATCGAGTGGGACAGGCCGGAACGATCACGTCAGCACATTTGTGAAGGGGAGCGGGCTTGGGCATTGAAGATAGGGGGTGGTGGGATCCTTCTGGGAAGAGGAGTGGCATATTCTGTGATACCGAACAACGCCAAGAGATGGTGGTGGATGACTCGTACTGGGTGTAAGGAGTAGGCAACATTACCACTCCCATTTTGTAAGAGGCCATGCATCGGTAAGGAACAGCACAGGGCTTCCCCCTCTGGTGCACATCCCACCCACCGGCTGATTTAAAGAGCTGCACGTAGCCGAGATCTTTGTGCCAGGGGAGGCTGTTCACTGCGACTGGAGCTGTTTTACCTTTCCCACTGGTCATAGCACACGAAAGCTCTCTCATGCTAAAGGACCTGTTAGCTCTTGTATCTCTCCACAGCTGCAACCATGTCTGGCACTGGCGCTTACACACACAGCTTGCTTTTCTGAAAAAATGTTTAGTTAGAAGGAAGCCCTTTGGTGGACATGGAGCTGTGACTGGTCGCAGCATTAAGCGCAGGGAGCCATTATATAGCAAGGGCAGACGCTCATCCGCTAAGCAGTACAGTCAAACGTGAAATCCCAGATTCTGGGAATTACCATCAGCCTTTTCAGATGGCGTGTGCTAGAGCCTGTCCATGCTGGAAACTGTGCTGGGCCTGACTACTCCTGGTGCTATTTTTGTAGTGTAGGGATCAGCTTACAACGCTGTCCTGGTTTCAGCTGGGACAGAGTTGATTTTCTTCCTAATAGCTGGTATGGTGCCGTGTTTTGGATTTAGTACTAGAAGAATGTTGATAACACACTGATGGTTTTAGTTGTTGCTAAGTAGTGCTTAGACTACCCAAGGACTTCTTGAGCTTCTCCTGCTCGGCCAGGTGTGTAACAAGCTGGGAGGGAGCACAGCCAGGACAGCTGACCAAAACTGACCAAAGAGCTATCCCATACCATATGATGTCATGCTCAGTGCGTAAGCTGGGGGAAGAAGAAGGAAGGGGGGACATTCGGAGTGATGGCCTTTGTCTTCCCAAGTAACCGTCACGCGTGATGGAGCCCTGCTTTCTTGGCGATGGCTGAACACCCGCCTGCCCATGGGAAGCGGTGAATGAATTCCTTGCTTTGCTTTGCTTGCTTGCATGGCTTTTGCTTTCCCTATTAAACTGTCTTTATCTCAACCCACGAGTTTTCTCACTTTTACTCCTCTGATTCTCTCCCCCGTCCCATTGTGGGGGGAAGGAGCGAGCAGCTGCATGATGCTGAGTTGCCAGCCAGGGTTAAACCACGACAAACACAAACATGAGGGAATCCCACAGCCCCACACTCGATGTGGCATCTGCTGTTTCTGGTGGTAGCTGTGTTAGGGCCAACCTCACTTTTAGACTACAAGCAAGAGCAATGGTGCAGAGGCTCTAGGCTGCTTCTTTCACAGAGGTGACCGTCCTAGCAACTAACGAGCAATTCTCACCCTTTATCCAGATGTAGTTTTGCTTTTGCGCATGACCAGAAGAGCCCCAGCTGAACCAGGTCAAAATGCCCCCGCCCCAGCTTGTGGCTGTCTCTCACAGAACTCAGTGCTCCAGGACATATGCCTGCCACAGCTGCTTCTGTGTGGTCTAACAAATGGCCACCAACAGATCAGGTTTAAATCAAGGCTGAAATACCAGACCAATAAAGCACATGTATATATTCCATTTTACAAATCCGGGCCTACTAACTGTGACCTCTAGTGCAATTATGGCTACTTTTGCTTTGAACAGGTACCTGTGGTCCTTGTTTGCTAAAATCAGAGACCTGCCTGCAGCCAAGACGTTCTCATTCCACAGCAGTGGGCAGCTGACATCGCTCTCCTCTTCGCTGCATCAGTTACAAGAATTCTCAAACTACTGTCCCTCGTGCTGGGTGTCATCCCAACATTCCCGCGCCCTTCCCAGGATTTACCATGCACAAAGAACTCGCTGTAAGATCATCTCCTGCATTTATTATTGCCACCATGGCTCTCCACTACACCCATCTGAATGTAGTGGTAAGAGTTGTTGCCAAGTCTTTGCTAAGAATAAGGAAGAGCAGAGGGAATGGCTCCAGCCTCAAGCAGGACTTTGTGAACTCACCATTCTCATAGCTACTTTGCAACCCTTTCCAGCTCACCAACATCTTTTTAAAACCCAGAGAGCAGAACGAACAAAGGCTGCATTCATCTATTCTTGTGCCAGCTTTTGTAGCACCCATCAGCCTTTATACCAATCACTTATCTGTGGGTTGCTTTTACTCCATCGGTGTCTGTTAACTTCCGAGCACTACACTGTGAGTTATTAATTTAATGCAATCTAGACTTTTCTGCAGACCTGAGTTGAATGGCATTTATACCAATCTGCATTGTTTCCTCAGAAAAGCCACCTTCTGTCAGACCACTGCTAAAAGCACTGAAAAACACTGAAAAACCTGAACGTTCTGCACTGCCTATTGGAAGCAGCTCCCCTTGTGACATTTGTCCTATGGATGACAGCAGCACTCACAACTTGGATGGTCCCATTGGAAGAAAACAAGGAAATGCTCTGCTCAGAAAGTCAGAGCCACAAAGTCAGCTACGTGAACTTTTCACATGACTGGTGCAGCCATTCTCATGTGTCAGTGGTAATTAAAATGGTAACTCACGATCATAAGAAGCTATTTGGTTTGATTTGCTACCTGCTTTAGTACCTTTTAATTGTTTTAAAAATACATTTTTCATGTATTTCATTCAAGCTTTTGTGACACAGGGTGAAGTTTAAGCACCGACTTTTCTGAAGTTTGTTAAGAACAGAAATAAATGTTAAACTAATTTGAGTTGATTAGTCTTGTTTAGTTAAACCTGCAAGGAACAAATAAGTACTTCGTAGTCCAAAAATCCTAAATTATTGACTCTCATTGTTAGACCCATAAAATGTGAGGTGAAGGAAAAAGCATACACCCAAGCCCCCCTGTTGTAGCGCACACACTGGTATTTCACAGATCTACATTCTGTCCCTAACTTCCAATCTGCAGAACCCTTTCAAGTTGTGTCTGTCAACAACAAAAGCAGCATGCATGGCTTGCTCCCCCTTCTGTCACTGACTGGAAAACCCAGCATTCACTCTGGACTAGCAGAGGTTTCCAGGTGTGAATATCCTACTCACTGCTCTGTACCTCCAGAGCTCAGTACCCACCACCTCATGTTCTGGTCATGACTTCAGCAGTACTCAAGAACTGAACCTTCAACCCAGAAGAAAGGGCTCTGCACCCTTATTCAAAGCTCAGCACTAGCTGATTTGCCCCAGCTTGGCCCAAGAACTACTACAGCTCACAAAACAAGACTGTTCTTCCCTCTTTATTGACTGATGGATTCTCAGGCAGATCTGTTTATTACACTGTTAAATAATAGTTAAAAACAAACCAAGGCCAGAGGAGTTTGAAGTGAAGTATCTAAACTGAAGCAGAAATTGGGAAGGAAGAGGCAGGAGAAGCTGGGCTGGGGTCCCCACTTCTGTATCGCTGCAGCTCAGACACCCTAACGGCCACTGCCATGACCCCAGACCATTGGATTCCAAGGCCTGGCTTAGATGGGACATCTTCTAAATATGGAAGTGGTTGCCCAAATGGTGCCAGATCAGGAGAGAAGAGATCTGTCCAGATACAGAGGTGCAAGGCAAGTCAAGGGGAAGCAGTATTGCAGCAATCCTAGAACACAGCCACATAGATAGCAGCAGAGTCCCGTTCCAGTCGGCAGATGGGCGAGTCACGCTGGCCACTGTCAGTCTCCAGAGAGCACCTGACCGACTGCTCTAGAGCTCACACATTGTGGGTCTTTTTGGTGAGCTGCGGATCCTCATCCACAAGCTTTGACTTGAGATGTTCCTTGTAGGCGAGGATGTCACCTTGCCACTTTGTGATTGTCTGCTTCTCACAGACCCAGATCTCCTGTGCAACCTGAAAGCGTACAAGGAGAAGGAGGTGTTTACAGTACAGCATTTTATAATTTTACCAAAAGTATAAAGTTAACCACAATCTATTCTCTGAAGCTTGGTATGAAAAGAGTTTAATAACTTTCACACTTCAACCACTAAAGAAAAATATTTGCAGTGAAATATCTTACCTGGTGTTTTCTGCAGAATTTATAAAAGATTTTACAACTAAAAATCCTTGAGCCCTCAACATTTCTTTTTTTGTACATGGACTAAGAAGGAAAGCCCTTCCTGCTAAATTGGGAATTGAAGAAAGTAGTTCTTGACCTGAACGACTTGGATATAATGCACTGAAAAATACAATTATACCTGAACTTACAGGCAAAGCTATAGCTGATAAATCAGCACCTGACAGTTGTGTGGACATGGTACAATTTCCTTCACCTGTGCAGACTGAGTTATAAAAAAAAAAAAAAAAAAAAAAGGGCTAGAATTACTCCAGAATCTTTTTAAAAAAAAAAAAAAAAAACCAATTTAAGCCCCCCAAGTGG